ATTTTTTTCTAACTATACCATATATGAAACCTTATTACCCTAAATGTGCATAGTTTGTTAATTACCCGCCCAGTCCACACTTTAACTACAATTTATATACCATTCGACTATTAGGCATTAAAAGAGCAGAATATTCCCAAAAAACGCGCTAAAATTAAGGAGAGAATCTTAGTGTTAATTGATTCTACATTAAATTCAATTTTTAAAAAGGGAAAAGAGATTTCTCATCTGCGTATTTTTCTCCAGAACTATAATTCAAATTCTCGAAAAAAAAAGAACGAACAATTCAAATTTTCGAGTTTCAACAACTCAAAGTTGAAAAAATCTGTTCTTCCATATATTTTCCACCATTGATAGCCATTAAAAAGCTTGAAAGCTTTGAATTCAAATTTGGGTTTTCAAAAATCATTATTTGTTTGGATTGGGTGTTGTTGTAAATAATTCGGAATATGTTTAGGAGTTTATATCTCAATTTTTAGGGGTTTTGGTGAAGATTAGACTTGGTTTTGACTGAATTTCAGATTGAAACAAGAAGAAGAAGAAGAAGAAGAAGAAGAAGAAGAAGAAGAAGAAGAAGAAGAAGAAGAAGAAGAAGAAAACATATTTCCAGAAATTGTAGATAAATTATAGATAAATTGTAGAATTGTAGATCAATTGTAGATAAATTGTAGATTGAGAAGACTAAAACTTCTACAAATCTTCTACAATTATGTCGAAAATGCAAATTATGCTACAATTGAAATGGGAATTGGGATATTAAAATTCAATATATCCAGTTTGTAGATATCTACAAATTTTCTACAAAAAATCTTCAAAGAAACTACAAATCAGTTTACGTATGTATAAAGCAGTATTGTTTTGAAGGGTATCTACAAAATTACTACATTTATAGTACAATTACACTACAATCTATGTTGAAAAAAAATGTTGACTACAAAATTCTCTCTTTATCTACAAAATTTCTACAAATAAACTACAAATCAATTTTTCCAGGATTGATGAAGAACAAAACAGCAGAAGATGCAGAAGATGGGCCACCGGAGTTACTCTTTATTCATGGTGGCCATACAAGTAAAATTTCTGACTTCCCATGGAACACATGTGAAGACTGGGTCGTCGCTAGTGTTGCTGAAGACAATATACTACAAATCTGGCAGATGGCGAAAAACATCTACCACGATGAAAATGATATACTCAATGGGTCTCATCTCTATATTTTTTTAGAAGAAGAAGGAATGGAGAAGAGAAAGAAATGGGAGAGGGAAAACGAATATGGTCAGATCTTAGGAATTAAGGGGAGAGAGAAATGTGAGATATATGGATACCTTTAATTAAGGAGTAAAAACTGCTCATTAATTAGACCCTTAATTAAGTATGGTATAGGATTGGTAATTTGGTATACGGGTTTGTAATTAAATCAAACCTTAAATATTGAGGGTAATAAGGTTTCATATATGGTATAGATAGGTAAAAATCCCTTTATTGAATTCAGTCCATCTTAAAATTGGTCTAATTTCTTGCCCAAATTGATCATGAGTAACTTTGCCAAAATATCTAAGAAATTATTCTTTTTTGTTTGATATGTTATATATAACTACAACAAAAGAAAAAAAAATTATTTAGTAATTATACAATTCATAAGAAAATAACACATATTAATTAAAGCTTGGTTAGAGTTGGGCGGGTTGGGCTATGATCCAAATCTTAGCTCATCTTGACCCAACTCATCTCAACCCAAGTAATTGTTGGGCGAAGGTCGAAAATTGCACAGATACTCAGAGGTGAAGCCAGGATTTAAAGCTGATGTGTTCAAGATTCTATTCTTTCTAAGTTATTAGGTTTTAAATTAATAATAATTAGCTAATGAATTTGGACCAAAGCTAATGGGTCGGCTGAACCTGCTTACGAAGCTCTAGCTCCGCCCCTAGAGATACGGATATCTTACTTGTGATATCAAAACACCAATGGAAAAATTTATCAAATTCATCAGCTGTTTAGATGAATAATTTTGAGTTTCTTTTAAGTTTTGGTAATCTTCTTAGTATTCCTCTTCTCATTCATACAGTATCCGATTTATTTTGAGTTAAAATCTTACATGCCGAATATATTTTTTTTATTTCTATTTGTTTTTGGTTCAATGATTTGTGATGACAGTTCTAAGCAATCAAATTTTTTTACAAACTTATAGCCATACAGATATTGTAATATGTTAAATCATAAGTTTTAAAAGTTTTTATCTTTTTCTTAAACTTCGTATTTAATCAAAGAAGTTCACATAATTACCATTAATATTTGAAGTCTACTATGAATAGCCTAAAGAGACTTAATTACCATGTCTATTTAGAAGACTAAAATCTTTTTAGCTCGATTAAAATCTTACTAGGACGAGCTAAAGACTCGAATATTTACTCACTCTAAACATGTACGTATGAAGACGAACTATGTAACTAGGGCGGTCAAATTTGGCCCAAGCTCAAATGACCCGTCCAACCCACCCAAGGTTGGGTTGGTTATTGACCCGCCCATTTATTGAACTCAGTACATCTTGACCATCTCAACTCATTTAAATTTGGGCTAATTTTTAGCCCAAATTGCTCATGAGTTACTTTGCCAAAATATCTTAGATTTTTTTTTTTTTTTTTGTGATATGTTATATATGACTACAACAAAAGAAAAAAGTTTTATTTAGTAATTATACAATTCATAAATAAATAATACATTAATTAAAAATTGGTAAGAATTGGACGGGTTGGGTTATGATCCAAATCTTAGCCTATCTTGACCCAGCTCATCTCAGCCCAAATAATTGTTGGGCGGGTCATTATTGACTTATCTAATTTTGTCCCGCCCAAAATCGACTCAACCCGCCCATGATACCCATATATGCAGCTATGTGATATATATATACAAATGACGCAACTATGCAATATACAACCTTGCAACTGTATAAATAGAAGAAGAATTGTAACAAGATTGCAAAACTAAAAGAATTGAACATTACTAGGTGATATCACAAGTGTCTTTTTGAATTTTTGGCCTTCATTCGCCCTTTCCTTTGTATAGGAAAATATAAACTATCCAAACATGTTTGATATTCACGAGTATACTCATACCAACTACACTTTTTTGGTAGAAAAGTTTTAATAACAAATTGTTGCTTTTTAGGGTTGTAGATGGAAAGATGCTTACTCTTTGGTCCTTGAAATACAATTTTGCCATTCCTGGTGTAATGCAAAGGCCTACTATATTTTACAAAATAACTCTCGCAAAATTCTGCCGGTACATCGCGAAGTTTCATTAACCATTTCCATCCATCTTGTTTCATTATCCACATGTCCACTTCCAAATCTTTACAATATATGTCATTATTAATTTTGCCGCCGTATAAGCAAAGGGAACCTTTCAAAGTAGCCAATTGAAACAAGTCATTATCACCTACAAAATTTGGTACTGGAAACTCCTTCAGTTCGTCTGACTTCACATCAAAATATATAACCTTAGAAGTTGTACTAACAAATGGATCAGGTGCTCGATTCAGCGACCAGAATACACAACCCTCGGTGCTAATTCCACATAAACTTGGGACACGTTGCTCTAACATATGGAGATTTTCCTTTTTCTTCCAATCGTTGCTATTCACAGAGCAAACAGTATAAAACGACGTATAAATCAATATAACCTTGTAATCATCAGCGGTAGAATCATAACACAAACCACAAGAACGAGAACATGTGTAGCTGCTCAGATATGGACATTCAAGAGTTTGGCATTGTCTAGTTGAAGGATTCCACAAAACAAACGTCTTGTAAGCCCTACGTTTCTTTAATAATACCAAACCATCATATGAGCATAAGACATTAGCACGTTCAAATCCCTTTAGAGGAAATTGTTGCTTTTCTATGGCAAATTGGGGGTTTTCTAAGTTTATAAACTCAAATTTGTCACTATAATAAATCTGTAACAACAACTTCTCACGTCCCAATTCTTTGGATTGATCACATTGAGCTTTCTTGAATCCTTTGTCGGATATTATAGCATTCCATGGCTTAGAAACAGATCGAAAACGTAACAAAGATTTGGCACGTAGCCTACTAAGAATGCAAAATAGGATATCACATGGAATATTAATGGACTTATGTGATTTCTTGTTTGACATTATTATATCTGCTGGTCAAGAAGAGTGGCTAATTGGCGTCAAGTTGTGTTGGAAGAAAAACACTTTTATTAGGGTTTAATGAATAATTACGTAGAAAGAGAAAGCAAGACTAAATAGTAGAAGGAAAATAGAATTTCAAGACTTCTTGTTGTGATAAAAAAGGATTCTTTTCCTTGTACTAAGAGGGGAGAAAAAAGGTGCCAAATAAAGGAAGTTAATTGGTACATATGTTTTTCTTTTTTTTAATTTGTACATACATAGTTAACAATTCGTAGGATTCTTTACTTAATATCATATGGAGGGATATATAGAAGCAGGAAAATAGAATTTTGAGGAGCTGTTGTTGTGAAGAAAAATGATTACTCCATTTAATTTCCTTTAATGGTTTGTATCTTTACACAAATAGCCAGTTGAATGCAATTGTTTGCTTTTTCTAGCCTGTATATACTAATTATATGATGTTATATATCTATTACACATGAATTATACATAACATTATGCGTATGCTGTCTTTTTTAATTTAAATAATTAGGTGCGCGACTATTTAGGTTAATTATATATTAAGGGGAGTAGAGAAACGGTGCCAAAACTGAAAGTGATGACTCAATTAAAGCTGACGGGCCTGCTATGTTTCTTGAAAATGAAACTTTATTTGAAGACAATAATCCTTTCCCTGACAACAAACTAGGGTTTCTCCACTAAGATGAAGTAAACCTTAAAAAATTCTGGTTCCTCCCCTGTTGCGGAAGCCAAATGTATATAGTGTGAATAAGTCACAACTACTATACCAAAAATTATGACAGCCACCAAATAATAAATAAGACAATAAAACAACAATAAAAGGAACACCAGAATTTACGAGGTTCGGCTAATTTTGCCTACTCCTCGGACACAACCAATATTTTATTTCACTCCAAAAATACAAGTGAAATAATACTAAAGAGAGAAGATACAAATGTCTTAAACAGATGAGAAGGCAAATGAGAGGTGTGTTTCAATCCTAAACATTAGGCCTTCTTTTATAGGGGAAAAATCCCCCCCAAACTTAACTCCCAACCAATGTGGGACTTTGGCATTTTGCCAAACTTCAACACCCCTCGGCATAATGTCAAAGAAGAAGTTACATAAGAGGTCAGTCACAGAAAAAGATACATTTGGTCTTCCATATGATATCCTTAGCGACATCCTTATTAAGGTACCTGTTAAATCTTTGTTACGTTTTAAATCTATTTCTAAACCATGGAATGCTATAATCTCTGGTGATGAATCCCCTCTTAAGAATTCTCATGTCTTATGCTCACTTGATGGTTTGGTATTATTAGATATAAATATGCTTGATGAGACGTTTGCTTTGTGGAATCCATCAACCAGACAACACCAAACTCTCAGATGTCCATATTTGATCAACTCAACTCGTGCTCGTGCTTGTGGTTTGTGTTATGATTGTACTGTCCATGATTACAAGGTTATATTGATCTATAGCTTGTTTTACGTTGTCTACTCTACGAATACAGATTTTTGGACAATGAAAACAATGTTCCCAATTTTTGAAGTACTAGAATCATATCATGGTAGTCGGGGTATTAATCGGGGCATTAGCACTGAAGGTCGTGTATACTGGTCTCTAGATTGGGAACTTCTTAACCAGGGTGTACGTAAAGTTTCTACAATCATATACTTTGATGTGAAGTTAGATGAACTGAAGGAGCTTCCAACAGAGGCGGATCCAGGATTTTAAGTTTATGGGTTCCTGTCGCAATTTCAAATTAATATACAATAATAATTGGGTTCACAAATAGATATTTAATAAATTTTTTAACAAAAATACAAGATCTACGCAAAAGTTACCGGGTTCCCGGGAACCCGTTAGATCCGCCCCTGGCTTCCAATACCGGACTTTATAGGTGTTAATGAGTTGTTTCGTTTGACTGCTTACAAAGGTTCCCTTAGTTTATATCGCGACAAAAACTTTGGTATCAAATCCGACTTATGGATCATGGAACAAGATGGATGGAAATTATTAACGAAACTCTTCAACGTACCTACATTATCTTTTCGCGAGCATTATTTGATAATAAAAAGTAATCTTTTGGCTTGCACATGGAATGGTGAACTTATCTTATATAGACCAGAGGATGGAACTCTTTCCATATATAATCTTATACAACAACGATTTGTTACGATATATTACAGATTATATCATTCCGAGTATGTGTATTCTTCGGCAGATTTAACATGTTTGGATAGCTTATGTTTTCCTATCAACAAGAGGAAGCAACTCACTCAATCAAAATGAAGGTCAAAATTCATCAGCTGTCTAGAGGAGTAATTTTAGAGTTTTTTTTTTCTAGTTTTGGTGAATCTTCTTAGTATTCCTCTTCTCATTCATATTGTATCTGATTTATTTTGAATTAAAAACCTACTTGTTGACTTTTTATTTTGTTTTTGGTTCAATGATTTGTGATGGCAGTTCTAAGCTTGCAAATCTTACATACTTATAGCCATACAGTTGTTATAATATATGTTAGACTACAAGTTTTAAAAGTTTTTTTTTTTTTCTTAAACTGCGTGTCTATTCAAATAATTCAGATAAATTGAACAGGGGAGTATGATTTTAGCTAGGAGCTTAAAAGGATCTAATTGTTTTCTTGAAATTAAAACTTTGGTGATCTTGTTTGTCCTTAATTTTATTGATGAATCTTAATGTCTTGCACTAATGAATTTTGAGGTTCAAGAAATAAATCTTACAGGCTTGATTCTATATCACGCGACATTGCTTATATAGCTTGTAATGTTGACAGTGCGTCTTAGAGTGCATTTTCCGAGTAGCTAAGTGCGGTTTTATTTCTGGAGAGTCCGAATAACATAAACGTAAAAGTGTCCTTCCTACTTCACCAAGCCATTTCAACATATAGTCTAACTTATATGCGTGGTAGTCGATTGTTTTTGCTAGACCAAACTGCAGAACTATGTCATTATATTTTGTGAACGAAATGCCATTTTCAAAAGGTCTAAATGTACATCAAACTGTACGTAAATAATGGATTAATGATTAACTAAGTGAGTTAAGAATCATGAGGTCTTAGCTTCAAATTCAAGGAGAGATAAAAATACTAGGTAATTTCTTCTTATCCAAATTTTGATGGACAAAGTTACTCGATACATGTGATGATGGTAGGTGTGCTCAAGCTGGCCCGACATGACCATTATCTAAAAAAATAATTAATAACCATTATTTTTTTGTCCCATTCCCAGTTTCCCACTTTATTCCACTTTTTCTCACGCTAATTAGGGTCAAATTCGGCCTTCCATTCTGATTTATTTTTTTCTCTAAACCTACTAAGAATCTAATATTGATCAAAATTACAGATTTAATTTCTAGATCAACTTTACTTGTTGGAATCCACTAAAATCTTGGCGAAAATTAAGGCTTAATTAGATTTTGTAATCTTCTAGTAGCACTTTTTCAATCAAGTTCAATTGTTAATTCATGGATTTCCTTCTTTAATTAAGTCACTAATTTTCTTGAATTGGGACATGTCACGTCTACGAAACTTTCTATTGGCATACATTGATATTGTAAAATTATTTTACATTATTTGAACACTTTAAAGGTAAAAATTAAGGTAATTCGAAAAATAAGGCAAGTAAATATTATGAGATAACTATTTAATAGAATCCCTTTTCCTCACAAATACTAAAGTCTTAAAACCTATTTTCCATCTACCATATAAACCCTAATAATAGGCTAATACAAAGCCTTTACCCTAGGCAGAAATCATGATGCCAAAGAAGAAAGTACAAAAGAGGCGAGCCTTGAAAAATGATACCTCATTTCTTCCAACTGATATTGCATTCCTCATTTTTATTTGGCTTTCTGTTAAATCTTTGTTACGTTTTAAATCTGTTTTTAAAGTCATGGAATGCTATAATCTGCGACGATGAATTCAAGAAAACTCACTATGAGCAATCTAAAGCGTTGGGTCGCAAAATACTCCTGCTACAAAAATTTACTGGCCATTTGGAGTTTAGAGATTTAGAAAGTCCCCAATTATATGACAGAAAAACAACGGTTTCCTCTTAAAAAATCAGATTTGATCAAGTTTTCTGCTCATGTGATGGTTTGGTTCTTTTAAAGAATCATAACGCTTATAAAAGGTTTGTTTTATGGAATCCATCGACTAGAGAATATCAAACTTTTGCATGTTCATATATGAAGCACAACGACACAAAACGTCCGTATGCTTGTGGTTTGTGTTATGATTCTCGGTTCAATGACTGCAAGGTTATATTGATCTATAACTCGTTTTATGCTGTCTGTTCTTTGAATAACGATTCTTGGACAAAGAAAACAAGTTTTCCTTGTGCATTACCATTTAGTGATTATTGTTATCCGGGGATTAGTACAGAAGATTGTGTATTTTGGTTTATGACTAGTGTTTAACCCAAAAAATAGTTTTCAAGGTCAAAACAATAATTTTATATGACGGGCCATAAGCAACCGATTCAATCCGAAAGATATAAAATTTTGTTAATATAACGTGATAGAGAAGTGGAAAATAAATTCAATGACAGATAATATAATAAAAATAAAGCAGAGAAGAAAGAATTCTTATTGAATGATCTTTGAGGATAATGAGCCGAACAGAGCTTGAAGAATCGAACTATGGCTAGCTTGGGAGCAAGATGATATGAATTACAATGTATAGAATTGTAGAAAAGAAAATTAGATTCCCCTGATGATGGTAAAAGTATGTCTATTTATAGGGCTAAATCTAAGTAACTAGTCTCCTTGAATTATGGGTCCATTATGAGCATTTACTCAATCCATCAATTACTTTTGGAAGACTTGTAACAGCTGTGCAAATGCTGGATTTCTGTAACTGATGAGTTAATTCCGTAATTAATGAGTCAATCTCGTGCCTGTTGAGTCAATCTCGTGCCTGTTCTGGGCTATTTCATGATGATCAGTTCCGTAGCTAACAGGCACGGTATGAGTATGTTCGGTCCCGAGGATGTTTCACATAACATCTTTACATGTCATTCTTTACTTTTCTTCAAACTTTATTGACACGTGTCGCCATTTAATAGACCCACATGGCGAGCCTAATTTTACTAATACAGATAGTCCTTCCGGTTACTCACTATGATGTGACCGGAAAGTGGAAGATTTTATCCTTTTCATCCTTGCCTCTGCCTCATTAAAAACCTTGCTGAAACACCCAATAGGGACAAAAATTGGACGAAGGAAAAAAGAGTGCAGAACTTAGATATTCAGATTATAACTCTGTCGCTTATGTTCCTTCGTCAATAATCGATTGGTTTACCCCTGTCTGGTTTCGGGGATTGAAGACGAATCTTTGCCTTATGTTTGCAAAGTTTGATATATATATATATATATATTTCGGCTTTATTTTCTGCCTATTTTAGTGTTTGGGTTTTTGTTTCACCCTTTAACTTTGCATTAAAAATGCTTCAATGCTCCGTGACTTTTTTGAATAAGCACGAATTATAAAAGAGGGCCCTTTTATGAACGACACTTAATGAAGAAGACGTCTCAACTTCATAATGGTGTAAATATACAAAAGAGAGATAGGAATTTTCACATGTTTTTCTTTAACAATGTTTTGAAGAAAGTTTTTACATTTAACTTTCATAACATTTCACATGTGTTTGTGTATCGTCTATAACTCATTTTGCAACTGTTTTTTCTTTTAACAGATTCGATATAAGCTTGCACTCGTAACTGTTTTTCTTTTGCAACAGTTTTTTTTTAAAATTAGTACAAGGAGATAACTATTTTTGTTTACAACAGTTTTAAATATAAGGGTATGAATTTTTACCCATAACTATTTTTATTGATAACAGTTTTCAAATGAATACAAGGGTAATGCTTTTTCATCCGTAACTGTTTTCAGTTACAACAGTTTTTGAGTAAGTACAAAGATGTGCATTTTTACCCGTAACTAATATTCTGCCTTTAACCTTTTTTGAAACATTCGTTTATATTTACGAATATGTTTTCAAAGGTTTTCGAGTCAGGCTTGTGTTTTTGGCTCGTGACTTTGCTCTTAACTTTCGATTTGTTGGGTAGACCTTAGGCTTGACTTGAATTTTGATTTTTCTAGTCTTCTTTGCCTTCCATATATATATTCACCAAGTGTTAGAGCTTTGAAGTATGAAATCTCGAGCATTTGATTATTCCTCTCATTTGGTCCTTTCNTTTACCAAAAGGGTTGTAACCTAGACCGGAATTAATACAGTGTTCCTCGAGTCTTTCGGGTCTAATATCATCATTTGGTATTTTAGAGAATTTATCCGAGTACTAATTTTTCTTGGCACTTTAGAAAATTATTTGAGTGCTCATACTTAGTCTTTTAGACTTAAAATATATATTTGGATGCATCGTTACATGTGCGATGTCTTAATGTTGCACCTTTGGGTGTCTAACTTTTATATAAAAGAGGGCTCTTTTATATACTTTAAATGCTATGAAGAGGACGTCTCCTTTTCATTCAGGCGTAAAATAGGATCGATTGATCCGAGTAGACTTTTAGTCTGAGGGAATATTAATCCAAGTAGAATTTACAAGAGTATTGACCCCATTAAGATTTACGGGAGTATTGATCCCGGTAAGACATTGAGTTTGAGGGAATATTGATCTCAAATAAGTATATATCTGAAAAGACATTTAATTTGATTGGATTTTGAACCCAAATTGGAGTATATGAACATACT